ATTAAATCGACGTGAAGCGGACAGATGATGCCCAAGATTGTACTTCATTCCGGCTAAATTAGGCGTGACTGTATCATGTTAAAAAACATATGCGCTGCTGGTCCGTGGAATACAGTACTGGTATTTGTTGATGTTGCAGATACTTGGGACGAGTATGGATACCAGTCTTTGTCGCAAAAGTTCACTTCTGCTTCTGGTTATGATCAGAAATGTGACGAACAGCAAGACGTTCAGCGAGGTACTTCAAGAAACCGACTACCATCTTATCAATGTTATATTCTGCCGTTTACAGACTGAAGCCATCAGACCAATAGCAGAAGCACTTTCGGAAATTTTGATGCTCCTAGCAAGAAGCAATCCGCACCGAATAAGGTCAGTATTTCAACTCGGCAGTCAAGCAAGCTTCCGCGCTGAAATTTTGGCAGTGCGTTCCCCGGCCAAGTGCCAACCCTGGGCCGAGGTACCAACCCTCACGCACATTTGGGCCCCGAGTACGAGCACGTGAAAATTTTGGCACTTTTGCTCACGGCCTTTTATAGATTGTTCAGTTATGCGTTTTGTGTTGTGCAGCATCTGCACAAAACGCGCATTGTCATGCCCTTTCAGTGTGTGCATGTGTGTCCGAGTGCATGTCCACACTTTTCAATTCGAAAACTACAAAAACTGGGGACGCTACAACTTTTGGAATGCTCCCGTCTTACGTGTGGTCCCGCAAATTTAATTCAGCCCATGTATGCCCATGTCTTACGTATGTCTGCGTCAGAGTTTTGGCGCCGAACTAATTGGGAACCAAGAAAGCGAGGGAGCTGAAATTTCGGAGAAGATGCTCCCCAGTGCGGGTCAGATCTCGTTTACTTAACTTCAGCCCAACGCAGTAGCTAGATCTTAGCTAGAACATAGCTAGATTTTAGATCTTACCTACTTCTACATGGAAATTTTAGCGCCAGGGAGCCGTGAACACGAGATTTGGGAGAGATGCCCCCCTATCCACACATTATCCAGTGAACATAAAAGTCATTAACTTGGAAGTCACGAAAACCAGGAAGCTGAATTTTTAGAATAATTTTCCTTGTTGACATATGACCCCGTAGTTTCATTTTCAGCCTTCACACACAGTTCGGTCTCTCGTGTGATCACGTGGAAGACTCGGCCCCAAAATTAGTAATTTGGAAATCAGAGAGGCTAGGAAGCTGAAATTTTGAGGGACGCAAGTGACCCTCTTCGGAAAGTTGCTTTTTATGATAATATCAAAATGAAATTTGAAAATCAATGGGTATTTGCTATTTCTTCTCCGTTTCTAGAAGTGCAGTGAACTACTGATGTGTGATGAGGCCTCATCAGTTGTTTTCTAGATTTGAAAAATCCTGTCTTTGGTGATTATGCATGATACTATGTACAAGGCGTGGGAAGGGACTTGTTGCTTTTCGACTGTGATGGCAAATCTCAGAATTGAGAGCATACTGAGTGCAGCTTTTTTAGCTAACGCAGCTTGATTTCAAGCGCTAGTTTCCTTGCCTCCTGGTACAGAAGTTTGATTTTCCTGGAATTAAATTTTTATCATTACC